ATTACAATAAAAATAAAAAAAACTGATCAAGGTTATATGAGAGCGGAAACAAGATTAGATGTTTGTTTCGTTCATTGTTTCTTTCATCTACAAAATGTTGTACTTGTTGTTCAAGAATCTGGCTTCGAAAACAATCGAATAAAGTATCGTTATATGTGGAAACTAGTTTCAACAAGTGTAGAATTGATATTCACGCATTGGGGAATTGAGAATTAGTAAAATTGGAAACGAGATTCTTGAACTAAGAATCAAGATTCCAGACATAAGGGAAACTGGTTTTGTGAAGATTCCCTGTAGGAATCATAGAATCGGGGTTCTGAATTGGAATCACGACCTTTCGTGAGAGATTTGAATAACTATGCTCCCAACCTAGGAGACTATCCCGCTTTGGAATCTCGCTTTTGTGCTCTAGGAAAGGGATCATCAAATGATCTTGATCCCTACCTTAGAGACTAAGGTAACGACAAAACTGCTATTTTCTTTATTTATAGCCTGTGACCAATGCAAGTTTACTTTTAATATTATCGCATGATTTGCTGGTTATAAATAAGGAAGCCCATACTTTTAAGAGTATATAAACTGTATATACTCTTTTAAGGCTAGTTGCAAGATTCCGAAGAGGTTGTGATCGAGATCCCGAACATTTGGGGATTTTGATCTATAACATATGCATTGCATGGATGGTGGCTGCAATCATAGGGATTTTCTAGCCTTCGACAATCCCCGGCTTCTGGTCCCAATAGTGCTTCCGATCCTGCCCCAAATTCCATCAACTATGGGGTAAATAAACCTACTTCAAATTGATTTTTCTCTTCTGACAAGCTATTTGTGCATGCCATCATGCCAAATCCTTTGGGAGCAGCTTGTTTATGGATAGTAGATTCATGTATTGGATCTAATGAATGAGAAATCACATTTGTTATGGAGCAAAAGAATTTCATGAAATTCATTACTTGGTTAGAAGAGATTGATCAATGGTGATATGCTTAAAACTGAATGGATTACCTTGTGACCTGCATGGAAACTCCAGTCACAGCACAAAAGGGTCCAGAATCTGAGTAGTTTTTGAAAGACTAGTCGAGTCCGCTCAAAAATAATAAATATTGGGAAGCCGCTTGGCACCCTGTCGAGCCTGTGTGACTTGTGGGTCTAGGTGCACTCGCTTGAGTTTTCAAACACTAATACTCTTGGATTTGGGGCCTTAGTTCTGACTCTAGAGTAAGCCAAACTAGTTTGTGACTTAGCCATTATCAATATGCTGGTCCCAGCATGGATGAGATTCCTACACTCGTTTGGAGTTTGCCATGTGTATTGATTGGCTCAACTGAAAATTTTTCGTTTTGATTCTTAAGGGTTTAGGCTTTTTTGTATGGCAACTTACCTTAATGTCAGTGTTTTATTGATCAGAAGGGGTGGAGCTTCAGCTGTTTTGCTATATGAGGGAGGAAATATCATATTCATAGTTATAGTGCATTGGGAGCAAGCAATGTTGTCGAATGCAGCCGCATACTGCATTAGATGGCCACTTCATGTGTTATGTGTCCTGAGGCGCATCTCATAAGTCCTCATGCACGGGATTTGGTGATCCTCGTATGCAACCCACTGCTCGTGGGCAGAAAATGCCATGAGTAAGAGCACTTTTGTACCTTTACCCCTGAAATGGAAGGGAAATGGTATGGGTTTGGGTCCTTTTTTCTTTTGTTGTGGGGGGTGACAGGGGGTGGGGGGTGAGGGGAGGAAGGATATATACCCTCCCAAAAGACATTCACAACTATTTTTATATGGTTCTAACTTCTAAGGGGAATGATTAAAAGCAAGAGCTTGAAATAAAAACACTTATAGTGAGTCTGAAGTTTTCAAAAAAGAGTTGGGGATTCTTTATCTATCAGTTGTGAGTTTTGTGGTTGTTGTTTTGAGGGTTTTCGGCTGGGCATCACCAAGTAATCGAGTGTTTTCAAGGGCTGAGTAGATTAGAACTTAGAAATCATAATCTAGGATCAACTTTTTTTTGGTAAGTTTCATTTCCTACTACTTTTTTGGGAGATTATTGAATTACCCATGAGAGACGAACAATTTAACACTTTATTAATATCTTTTTATTTCAAAATACTCATAAAAAAGCACAGTCTTCAGTTGGAATAATTGCACATGACGAAAATATTAAATACTTCATCTCTGATGGGTATTTTAATGAATTCCCTATTCTTTTCTGAACTATCGTCTTCTTCTAGTAACAAAGATCCAAAATAAAAATTCTCTAAACTGAACAATCTTAAGGATTGAATTAGTATTTTTTGTACTCTTTGTCAGAGAACTTACACGGGGGTGTTTTTAGTGTAACCGGGAATGCTAGAGCATGCCTTCAAGCAACTAATGAGATTAGAAGAGAGGTTAGGGCATTTTTCGATATCTAGGGCGAGGGGGGCAGAAAAGAAAGCAATGAAACAAAGTGATATTGTTAGATGAAAGTTAAATATTTGATGATGAAGATGCATCTGAAGTTGGAACTAGCCATAGTATTATAAGATAGATTCAAGGGTTGAATCGGCATGCATATAGGGTTTAAACTTAAGTTTGAAGGCTATGGAGGTTTGATAGAAGGGCAGCGCTTGTGGTGAGGTAGATTAGATGGGGTTCAACGTTTGAATTCGGTGTCCGGTAGGGCTTGAATCGGTGACGATTTTGGTTATGGATAATCTTAGATGGAAATGTGCCACACAAGAAGGGGAGAACCTCGAATTCACAAGTTAGGATTCTGGGGAATCTCTCCACCAAAACAAGAGAGGCTATAAACTTGAAAGCTGAAGATTTTCATGAGTGCAATTGGTTTTGTATTCATCCTCATATGAGCATGCACAATGATAATAGGGATGCTATCCATATTTGTCATGTCTTGCATGAGAGAAAACATATCGTGTCTCATTTTGTGAGAGAGGAGAGAAGGTTTTCACCAATGAGACATGGATACCCAATGTGAAGTTTGATGGCCAGCTTGATGAAATGTCTAAAAGGCCCCCTGTACAAGTTGGACAAAATGGGCAGTGTCAAACATTTGTGATCTAGAATGAGGTGGAGTCTATATATAAAGTATAGCATAGGGTATGTTAGTCACTCGTTATTATTTCTTCTGCTAAGTTTTATACTTGTTATATTGTGGTACACTTTTTCAGTAACTAATATAAGCTTAAGGGAGTTATGTGCTATCTCTTGAAAATGAGATTTTAACCGTGCTTCTTTTATGAATTCAAAAGAAAACCGTGCTGCTTATGACTGAATAAGGTTTGGTATGCAAAATGATGCCTCTCTTCTCATTCAGAAATGATTCCAATCCTTCCAACCTGAAATGTTATTGCTGGACACCCTTACTTCCCCCCCCCCTCCCCAAAAATTGCACATGTCCTATCACCCTCTCTCCCCTCCACTCCTGGCCACTCCTTCCATACCACCCATAAGTCTCACTTCTAGAGGGAAGTCTTGATGCAGCCAAAGCATAATCACACCTTAAATTTGACCTTTCTTTTAAATTTTTTTTTATTATGTATTTTTTATTATTATTCAAGGGGGCAGTCATTATTTAAAAGGAAAAAGTTTATATAGAGCCGAGGCTCTAAACAATCAAATTAGAGCCTACCTCAAAAATATCACTAGAAGAGGTTGTTTTGATGCCCAAATATCTTCAAATCGATCATCTCGACATCAAGATGCATGGACATGAGAAAAAAATGGATTTCAAGTTTTGGAAATAGTGTATTTTGTAACGCAATTTTGGACCGTCAATTTTCAAGATTTTCAAGTTTTCTTAGATCGTTTGAAGCTTTGAACTTTATAAATAAAGATGAAAATATATTTTATGGTTATCACAATGATTTCCAGTATTGAAACTACATTTCTCGACACTATTTGAAGGTAGGCTCTAATTTGATTGTTTAGAGCCTAGGTTCTATACAAACTACACCCTATTTAAAAATGGTAGTCTTATCATCTATTTAAGTCAGGTCTCTATTAAAGTGGGAGAGCACATGGGAGGCCTGATTTGGTGGGATTATGGAGATCCCAAAAGGTCGGTATCAAGATTCCCAAAGGTTGGGATTGAGATCCCTAATATATGGGGATCGTGACCCCTAACATATGCATTGTACGGGTGATGCTCCTAACTATAGGGATTTTCTAGGCTTTCACGTTCCCATGCTCCTGCTCTTGATTGCAACATTGATGGTCTTTCCCAAGGAGAACTAAGTGTTGGCTAAGCAATAATGTTGTACACCATTTTGACATAGGTGGCTCAAATGTTTTGACGACTTCTCCAAGTGGCTGTCAAGGGAGAATCTCACCATGGAGCCATTAAGTGCTATAATGCATCCTCAACTTATGAGGGCTTTATTTCAGAAGATTATATGAAGGAAGCAGGTCTTGTAGTGTCATATTTTGAGCATAAATGTTCCCATTCCTTGACTATCCTATGATTTTTTTGTGTTATTCAGGACTAAAAGGTAACTCAAAAGTTGTTGATGCCAATTCTGGTTAGGATTGTACATAATTGAGGCCCTGTTCAGCAGTCATTTTTCAGCTCTTCTAGTTTTCTTGCCATTTTTTTTGTCTTTTTTATGAATTTGTGTTGAACCTATTTGTTGGAGATGGAGTTTTTTGGGTAAATGTTGGAGTTCGACTTAGATACGGCTTTCTTTACTTTGTTTCATCATGTTCTTTTAGGGACTCGCATGCATGGGATATGAATTTCTCTTATTGTTTATCATAATATGAGATTCTAGACGTTCTTTGGGATGATTTTTTATGCCATGTTTTTCTACTTTGGAAGGTGAACATGATGTTGCCCAAGGTTTACTTTTCTTCATTCTGTGCTAAATTTTAATTAATATGGCACTTTTATGGCTGGTACTCCTGCTATTTGAGGAATATGAAAATAAAGAAAGTAGTTTATCTATTATATACAGTATGGGTGCATCAAGCCTTTTATCATACATGTTTTTCCTGTTCTACAGTGCAAAGTCTTCTGTGAAACTGGTCCTGTTGGATGAAGCTGATGCCATGACAAAAGATGCTCAATTTGCCTTGCGGAGAGGTAAATAACTAGATGTACTGACCTGTCGTAGACTAGTGGACAGTTTTGTAAGGCAGTGGTTGTTGGTCTTTAACATATTCATCTTGTTTCCAGTGATTGAGAAATATACAAAGAGCACAAGGTTTGCCCTTATTTGTAACCATGTCAACAAAATAATTCCGGCCTTGCAGTCAAGATGCACCCGATTTCGATTTGCTCCTCTTGATGCTGCTCATGTCAGAGAACGGCTTCAATATGTCATAAAGGCTGAGGGGTAGGTTTTCAAGTGGCTTTGTGTTTTGATGTTGAAGCTGTTAATGCTGGAAGGTGTTGATAGTATGAAGAATTAATAAGATTTCTTGATTCGCATCCGGAGGATTGGAGCTCTCTAAATTACTGTATTGTTTGCGTTGTCACAAGCACACACTTCGTGGCACCATATTCAACTCATAGGTTTACATGCATTGTATGTGGGAGATCAATTTAAATGTTATGAGAGAGCATACTTTTTTTTAGATTTTGAATAAAGATGACATGTTCCTTTAGAGAGACTTTGAGAATGACACTACTACAGTGGATTATTTAAAAGTATAAATATGTAATTCAGAATACGTAATTATACACTTTTGTATAATGATGAACTAATACAATTATAAGTACATAATTTGTAATTATAGTTTACTGTAATATTACAATTTCTTAATATTATGTCCTTTGAATTCATTTATCACTACATATGTTATTAATAATAATAGTAGTAGTAATAATAATAATAATGTTATATATAATACTATAATTCATACTATAGTTATATAATGAGAATATTAATAACAATATAATTATTTCATTAATAACATTTAATAATTTAATTGATATGTAAGTGTGCATGCACACGCCTGTGTATGTCTTGTTGTATAATTAAAATATACAAATAATATTTATTTTAATTATCTTATGTTTTATCTTTTCACATAAAAAAAAAGGTGAAAAATTTGGTATGTGAAATAGTTTTATTATAATTATGATATTATCATATGTTATTATCTTAATGTGTTAATATCTTAATATATAGATATTAAAGTAGTCTTTTATTCTGATATTTTATCAATGTTATAATTTTATATTAATATCAATATTATGATATTATATTATTACCTAATTATAATAAAGATATTATTCTAATTATTATAATATTTATATATAATAAGACTATTAGTATTATGTTAAATATTTATTATCAAAATAGTAATTAATTAATATCTACTTTAAATAAATATTTGTTATAAATAATATTATTAAGAGTTAAATATATTTTATTGGTCATATATTATTCATAGTTTGATATTTTCATTTAATAATTGCGTGTTTAACAAAAAAAGGCCTAATATGTATTGGAATATATTTATTTTTACTTTCATATATTTTTAATAATATGCATTCCATAATCCATGCATGATATACTCCTTTCCTAAAATCTCTCAAAGTACGTGGATTTTCTTGAGCTTATTCTAAAATATCTCTATCAAAAAAAGAGGATTTGCTTTTCTTTGAAAAATAGAAAGATACCCTACATCATGTTCTAAAATTTTCTATTTGGAAGTCGCATGCTCTACATCCTCTCTAGAGATAGTGTCCACCTTTATTTTTGACATGTGTCCACCCCTTAGTTGTGGCTTAATAATGTAATATAAATATAATACATCATGAGTTTGTCTTAATCAATATCACGAATGTAATTTTAAGTTGCTTGTTCATTTTGGTTTCATATTTCCCTTTCTCTTAGGAGTTGTGTTTCTAGAAGATCATTCCTACTCTTCTCCTTTTAGCAGAGAAGCTTGCATTAAAACTGTGGACTTCAGTATGCGACCTGTATGGCCATAGGGCTGATGCTTGCGTTAGATCAAAAGATCATATTTCTCCTTCTCTTCTTGGAATATTTAGTACTTGTCTGTTTATACTTCAGTGTGTTTGTTTATCTAGGCTTGATGTTGATGAAAGCGGATTATCTGCAGTTGTGAGGCTAAGCAATGGAGACATGAGAAAGGCTTTGAACATATTGCAGGTAACGGCAATTTTGTCAGTATATTCTGATCATTATGAAAAACATAATTTTGTATCTCAGATTTACTAATAGTTTTTGTTATTTATACTAAGTTAGCTAATTAGCTTTATTCAGTGGTGACATGACTGGGCTGTAGTTGGGAACAGATGGTTCTGTTTTATATGCGTTTCTTAGGTGGAACTTGCTCGTGCAATTTTTCATTCCAAACTGAATGTTTGTTGGGTCTTTGCATCATGCAATTAAATGCCATTGGAAAAATGTTTTGATAAATGCCAAGCAGAGCATTTCATTATATTGGCTAAAATTCACTTTTTTGCCACGCAACTTAAAATTACTTTTAAGCTCCTTCAAGATTATGAGACAATAATATATCAGTGTTTAATGTTGATCTGTGTAATTTATTTTTCTATGTATGGGATGCTATAGGAGATTGGTAAGAGTATTTTAGTCTTTTGTGTCCCATCTTATCATTCGATTAGTTAATGAGAATCAATCTTATTTTACCTCTCTGCTAGTACTTTTATAATCAGTCTTATTTTACCTCGCTGCTAGTATCCTAAAAGGGTGTCATAGCTAGGCATGAAACCCTGCATCTCCAAAACCCAAACCCATAGATTATCAGTAAATCTGTAGTGGAAATCAGTTAAGTATGCAACACTAGGATTGATACTCTAGGGAATCGATCTACAACAGCAAAATAACATATGGTCTTAGACCCTGGCTTTGGCTCGAAACACTAAATTTCGGAAGCAATTCTTATAATTTTATGAATTGGAAACTACCGAAACTTGGGACATGGAATCAATCTTGGTCTTAGACCTTGGCTTTGACTTGAAACACTAAATCCTCATAATTTTATGAATTGGAAACTACCCAAACTTGGGACATGCACAACCTAAATGTTTATTGTATTTGCTATCATTATTTTGTCTATATTTTCATGATATCCTGAGTTTTGAACCTCTCTTGCTTTGAGTCTGGAATATAATACCTGCTAGACAAGTCTAACAGGTTCAGCTCTTTTTTCATCTGAATTTTCCTGAAGTTAGAGCTAGCTTGATAAGTTGGTGGTTGATTAATTTTCCTTTTTGCGTTGACATGCAAAAGCTAATATCAGTTTTTATGTTACATGATTAATACTGTTGTTTAAGCTTAGACACAATAGCACTTCCTTAGGAGCTTAGAGTGGAGTTCCCACTGTGGAAGAATGGTCCCATGGTTTGGGGGCGATTCACTTTATGTGCTTCAGAATTTGTTATCTCACTCTCTGATAGCAGATCCCTCAGCAGATCCCTCAGCTTATCTGGAAGGTACTTCCCATTCTTTCAGGTATCTACCTTGCATCTTTTGAGAAATGCATTGCTAGTGTATAGCTAACACTCTTCATCAAGGGTGTAAATTTTTAAAATAGCTTTTACTGCAAAGTAAGGAGATTAGCCAACCATTTATTTAATTTTATATTAATAGTTCCAACAAATCCAGTATGCAGTAAAAATCGGTAATCAACTGCATAGAAATCCAAATTAATGACATTCTTTGAGTAGATCACATGAGTCTTTAAGCTAAGTTTTTATTTTTTAATACAATGCACTTTATCCCTCCTTGGGCAAGTATGGCCCTTAATTGCCTCGTTTCTCATTTGGTTTTTGTCGTATCCTTCTCTTTCTTGTGGTTTTTATTCTCCATGTTTCATCTCTCCTATTTTTTTTGATGATATTGTGCATTTCTTTTTTTTGTTTTGTCTCTTTAGCTATTCATGCTTTTGTCTTTTTTTATTCTCTCTTCTTCACACTCCTTTCTTTCTTTCCTTATGTTGTCCTTGTGGAACATGCATTCTCTCTCTCAAAGGAATGAGAGGGTGATGTAGCCCCTTTTCCACTATAAGGTAGGGCAAGGAGCCACGGAGCCACTCTAAGATGAGATGTGGAAGCATGCTTTGCTTTTGGGCATGCTGCTGCTTGTGAAGAGAGCGGTAGAGCCCCTGTGTGCCGTGCCCACACTTTCCACTGCTGGAGTTCTTCAACTCTTCCCCAACCCTCAAAGGAAACAATGCAGTGAACAGTGGCTTTGTGAATCTTCTAGCGTACATCTTAAAAGAAAATGGCAAAAAAGAGTGTTAAGTAGGAAGATGGGACCCCTCGCCAATGGGAAATGTGTGGTTGCATCGGTATGATGAGATAATGTTATCTAATACATTAGTGAAAACATAGTTACATTTGTACATTATGCCGACACAAATCAATAATGTCCTACTAATACCTTATGTATATATATATATATATATATATATATATATTTATTTATTTTATTTTTTTACTTAATTTTTTATTTTATTTTTTCTTATTTTTAG